ATCTCCTTCTGTACTTAGACACTTATAATGAGATCATCGTCCACCTGTTTATTTAAAGGATTATGAAGTTAGTGATGATCTTGATGAAGAAGAAGATGTTATTCATTATGCTTTATTTACATATTATAATCCAGTAAAGTTTGAAGAAGTATCTAATAATGATCAGTGGATTAAAGCAATGGATGAAGCAATTTTTGTCATTAAGAAGAATGACACATGGAAATTAACTACTTTGCTAAAAGGGAAGAAGTTAATTGGGATAAAATGGATATACAAGACAAAGTACAAGTCTAACAGAGAAGTGGAACAGTTTAAAGCAAAACTAGTTGTAAAAAAATACAAACAAAAGTTAATTATTGATTCCTTTAAATTATTTATGTCCGTTGCTAGATTAGATACTATGCGTATAATCATTTCACTTGTTGCACAAAAATTGTTGGAAAATATATCAAATGGATATGAAGGCAACATTTCTAAATGATGTTCTCAATAAAAAAAAGAAGTGTACGTTGAACAACCACCTGATTATGAAAAAAAAAGTTGAAGAAGATAAAGTTTATTAATTGATAAAGACATTATATGGGCTTAAGCAAGTGCCAAGGGTATGATACACTCGTATTGACACTTATTTTTCCAAAAATGTCCGTACGAATATACTCTGTATATAAAGAATATTTGGTAAAAAATACTTCACGTTAAAAACAATTTCCTGCTATTTCATTCCTTAGTGTCTTTACAAACAAGGATGGAGACATTGTTGTTGTTTGCTTTTATGGGGCTGATTTAATCTTCACAGGCAATAATTCAATATTTTTGTCAGAATTCATAGAGGATATAATTGTTCACTTTGAGATGACAGATATGAGGTTAATGTCTTATTTTCTTGGTATTGAGTTCAATCAAACAAATAAAGATATATTCGTTTCTCAAAATAAATATGCAGGAGATATCTTAAAGAAATTTAAGATGGAAGCCTGCAAATCAATCCTAACACCAATAGAAGAAAAGTTAAACCTTCTGAAATACGGCAACGGTGATTTGGTTGATGCAATAAATTTTACA